CATATGACTACAGCTGTAGTTATATGGATTAATTTTAGCCTTAATTACATGTTAGCACATGTTTGATAGTTAATGCATTAATTACCATTTATGGGTAAACTAAATCAAACAGCCTCTTTAAGAAATAATAAGAAATACTCTGGCTTTGAAATAAATAAAGAATTTAATATCATAATTTGAGTTTTTGACATTTTCAGCTTTATGATTGATCTTGTCTGTTTTGTTGTTCTTTTTCCCTTTAAACTCACCCTGCTGTGACTTATAAACAGCTAAATAAAAATAAAACCTCAAAATCCACAAAGAGCATTTGTAGAACAATCCTAAATAAATGCCCAAACCGGAAACAGTTCACTGTCCATCCAGACGCAGGCGTGATGATACTGTACCTCCGCTCTCTGACTTCTTGAAAATCCACACCACATCTCTTACTAAATACTCGCTGTGTTAGTACATGTGTATTTGAGAGTAAGTATAAAATAAATCATGAGCTGTGTTTAGTAAGTAGTTAACTGTGAGTTAATTATGATTGGGCCCCCTCAAGTAAAGTCATGTTACAATTTTAACCAAAGACTTTTCATTAAGACCTTAAAGAATCATATCAACTTGTGGAAAATGGGCATCCCATGACCCCTTTAAAAAAAAAAAGTAAACACAACAAATTCTTTACAAAGTTTATGAATAATATGCATTAAATTACAAATAATGTGTAATGCATGTTATACATATCATTATGAAACCCCTAGTGAAAAATATCCTAAAATGTATTGGAAATAAATTTAGCTCATGCTAAGTATACTACAAATACATTTACATATTTATGTACTTACTAAAAATACCCTGCAATTGTACTTTTAGTATACTAAATTGGAACAACTAATTTTGTACTTAATGCATTTTAATTGTACGGAAGTAGTGCTGAAGTCCAACTAAAGATATACTGAAGTATATTTGAATGTGCTAAAGTGGAACTATTGCAAGTATACTTCAGGTGCACTTTAATCTTGCATTTAAAGACCAATATTATTCAAAGATCGTCCAATCCTCATCAATAGTGACATTAAAACGCATTTTAGGCTTAATATTAAGAAATGTGCATTGTGCACAAGTAGTACTCCAAATAAAGTTTAATTATAATTTTCCTGCCTCCGTTGCGAGTCCCTATCAAGCACTTTACCAATTCAACTACTCTCTACTTCTCCTCCTGCCTTGCTCTTTGGTCCGCATCACTCACCGCAGAGCAAGCCTGTTCTTGATAAATCTCCTGTGAAAACGTGGGAAAAGCCAACGAGGAAGAAGTTGGGGGTGATGCAATCTTTATATAGGCGGAGCAACATACTTCATCGCTCCGTCTATAGCGCATTGTGATTGGATGGTTTAAGCTGTGTATACACCATCCAAGATGTAGACGAGTTAGTTTCTTTTATTAGAAAAGATTTGGAGAAATTTAGCATTACATCACTTGTTCACCAATGGATCGTCTGCAGTGAATATTTGGTTTAAAACTGTTTTGGGCTGTTGAATTTGAATTACGCACACGGTACACTGTAAAAAACCCAACTTGAAAAAAGTTTAGATGACTGGTTTTGTAGTGTTGGGTCAGCAAAAATCCATGAAAAAGTCAGTACAACTAAGTTTAATACATTTATTCAGCTTAAACCAAGTTTTTTTCCATAAACTTAAAAAGATGAGTTTTGTGAACAGCGCTTTGCAAGTTCATCCAAAGAAACTTCTGCTAACTTATAAAATTGAGTTAAATCAATCTCATTAGGAAACTGCCCACCCATATAGTAAAAAAACAAATGCTAATTTTTTGAATAAAATGTAAACATTTGTTTACTTCAGGACAATGAAGAAAAATAGTTAGTGATTTTTAAAAGAACTAAAATGCTCCTTACTGTATAATTGTAAGATCATAATATTGTACAACAACAACAACAATAATAATTCTGTACACTTTATTAGAATTCCAGAGTAAATAATAATAATAATCCTTATTATTATTATTATTGTTATTATTTACTGCGTATTTCTTAAAAAGTGTACAGAATTATTATTATTATTATTAATAATAATAATAAGAAAACGTGCCTAATGTATAATTGTATACTATATTATTGTACAATAATAAAACAATTAATATAATAGTACAATAATAATACTAATATAACAGTACAATAATCATACAATTAAATCTGCAGGAAGACTTTTTTATTATTTTCTCTCATGCGTTAAACCACGCCCTCAGTACGTGCCGGTTGCGTATAGTACGTCAACGTTTACTTTTCAAGGCTTTGAACTTTTCAACGCGGGAGAAACAAGTGTTCAGCAAGCGGCAGAAGAAGAGTGTTTATGAAAGAAGAGCACATGGCAATAATCCAGAGGAATGTTTTTATGGTAAGTGTGTTTTTTTTGGTTTTTGATTGTTGTTTTTTCTTAAAGTCACACTTTCCCCAGTTAACTTAGTTGATATTGGTTATTTAGAAGAAAAAAAACACCACATTTTCTTTAAGTTATCAAACATTACTGGATGTTTAAATCTAGCTGTATTTTAATCCTGTTACATGAAATAATTAAGTTTTTGTTGCGATGGACTTCGCTGCACATTTAAGTTGCCTTTTGAAAATAGTGCATACGTGTAGTTTATGATGGTCACAGACGATTTTTTAGCTTCAGACTCTGATTCCATCCAGTCGGAGATCAAACATGTTTGATATTTTGAGCCGATTTTAGAACACACGTTGTTTTCATTTGTCACGCGTCTCAAGGCAACAAGGCGCATGTTTCTGTTGATCGGAACTTCTTGTAGTTTGTGATTCTCAGTTGTTTAGTAGTGGCCTGTGTTTCTTCTGTGACTGTTTACAGAGTCGGTAAGTGTATGATGCCTAACGTTTTAAAGTATGTGCATTAATTTGCATTTTATTAACCTGATAATTCACATTTGTGTATTTCCTTATACAGATCCTGAGAGCACACTTAATTAATTGTAGGTGCTGAAACACACTGGGGCCAGCCAAAATCTGCTGCTGAAACATTACAGGCGCTACCCTTGTCCTTGAACCCTGATTCTGTCTGCACTTTCAATAAACCAGGTGCGTTAAAAACTCAACTACTTGGGGTCCACGTAAATTCTGATAAAAGGGCAGTGCATGCAACATTTAACTGTGACCTGTGAGATTTTCACAATGTTTGTATTTTGGAAAACTTAAAGACAATTTTCTGTATTTTTTTTTCTTTTTCTTTTTTTTTTTTTTTACACATGTGTTTTACCTGTGTTTTGAATTCCGCATTGCATGTAGTGTTTTAAGGAAATGTCCGTAAATTTAATGGAAAATGTACTGGTAATTTTTTGCCAAGACATTATCTGTTTTTCTGTGTTTTGTGTTTTATTCTTACAGTGCACAAACAAAACTTTGTTGTTGAACAAGTTGAGTTTGTATTCAGTAGACAAAAAAAAAATTGAAATGAGAATTATCCTGAACCATTTTAACGAGCCAGTATAATCCCTATGCTTATGAATCCCTTTAAAAGTAGCGGTTATACACTTTCATTGACAGTTATTTTGTCTACTTGTTTTTTTCCCCTCATAAATTGACTACTTTTTTGTCCCAGCATTACAGTTTTTAAAGATTTTTACAGTCAGTTTTTGTGGATTTGTTGCCCCAAGCACTCCTCCATTTCTGACCCTTTGTCCATCCCTAATACATTTTCAGTATTTTTGACACTCAGTTATGATCTGTAAGGAATCATACAGAAGTGAATTATATTTTTTCCCCCTCCTACAGACAACAGACACCCCATCACAGACACAACATGGCTCTATGGAGACCCCCGTTTTACCTCAGGGAACCAAATCTCCAAGATTTATTTGGTAGGTTTTCAAATTTTGTTCTTCTCATATTTTCATTGATCACCATTTATTTATTAAATGTGTGGCTATATTTAATAAAGGTGCTGACATGGTTTTCATGTGGGTTGTTTACATTAGGTTAGCACATAATGCACCATGTTTTGTTAGAAATAGCGTATTTGAGCTTTGATTTTTATATCTACACTCTTGCTCAACCAGTTTTCAATAAATTTACATAATTCTTTCTTAGGACACTGATAAAGAGGAGTGAAACTGGGCATCCTTGAAGTCATGGAGGATGACCTCTCACAGAGAACTAAGAGATGACTAAACTTCTGCATCATCCTGGAGGAAACTGTGGTAATGGAGGACCATCTGACTTTCCCACTGCTTTAATGGTACTCTTTGGACTTCTCTATGTGCTGATTATTGACTTTCCAAAAGGACTAAAATACACATTTGAGTGTTTTGCAGATAGGTGCACTTCTATTTTATAGACCATCCTTCATATTTTGAAAGTTTGTGTTCCTCATGTACATGCTACTGTTTAGTCATGTTTCATATTTAGTGGCAGAGTTTTGTAAAACTGTTTTAACTGCAGTGTTTAATTTCACTGTTGCAGTGTTGCATCACTTTGGCTTAAATATCTGTGAATTTAAAAAGCATGGAATTACAGGATTTTTATATTATGACGATAGCAGTTCTAATGTATTGATGCAGGTTAGTGCAATATATGAAATTTTGTTTCATGTGAGCAATATTTAAAGAGAGAGTTTACCCAAAAATGAAAATGTATCATCATTTACTCTGTTCTATCTCAAACTCATATAACTGCCTTTCTTCTTTACCCCCACCTACAATCCCTGCCAGTACCGAGACTCGAATCTCTGATCTTTGGGTTACAAGTCCAACTCTAACCATTAGGCCTTGAATTTTTTGGCAGTTTAGACTCGCCCTCCTCAATGTGTATGGTGGTTACAGCTCTGACTTTGAGAGAAATTGATTGTAATGATGGGTATACATGCCTGTTTAATTGTCTTAAATAATGTTTGTCTTAAAAAATTGCTCTTTTGAATAAATGTTTTATTAATATTGTGTCAGTGTTTTCAGTTTTTGACTTGGACACTGTTATTGCAGTTTTCAGTTGTAACATATTATTTCTTAGTACCAATTTCCAGTAGCATTTTTTTGTTCAGTCAACTTCAGGTATTTGAGTTCTACAGACAAAAAATGTTGAGTTGGCACAGCTTAAAAAGGTTTGTTATAGAATCGTTGCACATCTCAAGAAAACTAACAATCTTGAGTTAACTCAACTAAACATTTTTTGTATGACTTGACAACTTTTTTTCAGTCAGTATAACTGCTTTTTTACAAAAGTTGAGTGAACAAGAAAAAGCTAAGGGAAATTAGTACTAAGATTTTTTTTGTTGTGCTGGCTTAAATTTTTTTACAGTGTATGAATTTTTTAAAAAACAGCTTACCTGTCCAAGTGGCTAAGCAACGTAGACCGCACCGTGAATTGAGAGGCACAGTCAGTGGAAAAACCATGATAAAACGTAAAACCATCAGAATCCTAAAAGATCAAAAAGTGAGAGATTTTTGGTCAAATCACCCAGGGGTGCGTTTCCCAAAAGCAACTATGGTCGCAAGTTCCATCGTTATCAATAGAGTTCAATGGAACTTAAGCTTTGATTGGCCATCTCAATCATTTTGACATTGACAACATTGCTGGTAAACTGCTGAGGCAGACCAGCCTAAAAATTTAACTCGCAAGTTCCATCGTTATCAATAGAGTTCAATGGAACTTACCACCATAGTTAGTTAACGATACTTTTGGCAAACGCACCCCAGCACGGTTAATGTTAATCCCTAAATATACTATTGTTTATTCATAATACATCACCTAATGTTAATTTATACAATGTGAATATTCAAAAATTAAAAATTCTGTAGAAGTATTGTTAATTGTAGAGTGTTTAGTATATTACTTTTTACTGTGGTATCAAATCAGTATTGAGAATCATCCAATTTCACTGGGGAAAAGTTAGTATTTCATGTTCATTAGTTGTTGTTTTTTACTGTTCAGTGCACAATAGTTTTGTTTTTCGCCATACAGTTTGCACATTAATGTGCATCCACTTGATTTAAGATGGTAATCATCCTCCTTTTAATGCAAATGAGAAGAACTTTGTTCTTATTTTGGACAGGCCTGTATATGATAAACCAAGTGTTATTAATGCAATATATCTGATGAAAGATACATATTTAGTGTAAAACCGCATGCTCTTACAATGGCGTACCTGCAAAATGTAATTTATCTTTCTTAATTAATGCTCTTTTGTGGGTTGGAGACATGTTCAGTAATCCCTTATAGACACACACATGCACACACACTGCAGTAATTGGATTTAAGTTTTTGTTATTTGATCGGCACTTTCCTCAGGCTGTTTAATTAGAGCTGCAGTAAAGCTTCAGTGCATATGCATTCTGCTGTTATTATTGCTGTGTGAGTGCAAGCATTTACTCACGTTTGTGTGTGCGTCTGGTTGTGTTGGGGTAATTTAATGCACATTATTTATGTGCTAAGGAAATAATTTGCTCTTTTTTTACATTCTATGTATGTAGCCACGTCTGATTGTCTTGCTGGTTTAGCATTATTTTATTTTATTTTTTAATATGTTGGATTTGATAATCAAATGATTTAATCTGTTTATTTATTAATTGCAAGTAAATACTAGAAAGTTTCTAAAATAATAATAATGTTTAGACAGATGCTCAGCCCTATCAAGAACTTAAAACTAAAAGCATTTAAAATGGTGGATTTAAATGTCAGTCAAGAATGTCTGAAAGAACTGAAGTGTCTACAGTACAGGCAGCACAAGTTGACTCCTCTGAAGCACTCCAGTTGTTCTCTGTGTGAATGTGTATTGAACTGCATGTGCTTTAGTGTTAAACTGACTGAAAAGTGAAAAGACCGCAAGAGTGATGGATGTATCTGTATGATTAGACTCTAATCTAATCTTAAATGACTCATTGTGCTTCGGTTGTGAGCTTGCTTTTGCATCAAGAAAAAAAAAAAAGATATTTCGTTACTCTAATCATTAGAGTAACGAAATATCTTTTTTTTTTTTCTTGATGCAAAAGCCAGCTCACAACCGAAGCACAATGAGTCATTTAAGCGCCTTTATTAAAGGTGAAATGTGTCCGTTTTTTTATGTTGAATTGGTGTAAAATACTACTTGTATCCCAGTTTAATGTGAAGAGACTATTAAGCAAGCCATTTGTAGGCTGATTTCCCTGAAGAATATAAACACTGGCGCTTTGCAGAGATGGGCACAATTACATCAAAAAGTATTTAGTTACAAATTACAAATACAAGCTCATCAAATGTAAATTAAAATACAAAAATACTGGTGTGAGAAATGTATTTAATTAAAATGCAAGTAATTTGTCATTTGAAAATACAAAAATACAATCAATATTTACAAGCAATCAAGTGCAGGAGACAGTGCCATTACATTTGCAGGGCTGTACAGTGCGACGTATATGTATTATATATATTATATTA